CACAAGCAGGGGGAGTGGGAGAGGGAGAAGCAGGCTTCCTGCCGAGCAGGGAGCCTGATGTGGGGCTCGATCCCAGGACCCTGGGATCATGACCTGAGCCGAAGGCAGACGCTTAACGACTGAGCCACCCAGGCGCCCCTCTGCTATTATTTTCAATATTTCAGTCGTTTACCTCTACTCTTATTTTAATTTTTTTTTTTATATTTAAGATTTGTTTTTAGAGCAGTATTAGATACAGAAAAACGGGAGGATACAGAGAGTTCCCATATCCCTGCCACCCACACACATGCACAGCCTCCCCCATTATCAATACCCCCAACCAGAATGGTACATTTGTTACAACTGATAAAGATACATTGTCACAACATAACCACCCAAAGCCCATTATTTGCTTTAAGGTTCACTCTTGATGCTACACATTCTATGGGTTTGGACAGATATATAATGACATGTATCTACCATTATAGTAACACACTGAACAGTTTCACTGCCCTAAAACTGCGCTCTGCCTATTTATCCCCTTATCCGCACCAGCCTCTGGCAACCACTGATTTTTGTCTCCATAATTCTGTTTTTGTTTTTCCAAAATGCCATATAGCTGGAATCATACTGTAGATAGTCTTTTCAGATTGACTGCTTAGTAATATACATTTAAGATTTCTTTGTGTCTTTTCATGGCTTGATAGCTCATTTCTTTTTACAGGTGAATAATACCCTATTGTCTGGATGTATCACAGTTTATTTATCCATTCACTTCTACTGAAGGACATCTTGGTTGCCTCCAAGTTTTGGCAATTATGAATAAAGATGCTATAAACATCCATGTGCAGATTTTTGTTTGGAAATAATGTTTCCAGTCCTTTGAGTAAATACCAAGGAGTGTGATTGCTGGATCATATGGTGAGAATATGTTTAGTTTTGTAAGAAACCCTCTTCCAAAGTGGAATGCATTTTGCATTCCCACCAGCAATGAATCAGAGTTTCTGTTGCTTCCCTTCCTTTCCAGAGTTTGGTGTTGTCAGTCTTCAGATTTTGGCTATCTAATAGGTATGTAGTGGTACCTCCTTGTTGTTTTCATTTTCCTTTCCCTGGTGACATTTGATGTGGAGCACCTTTCAATATGCTATTTGCCATATGTCTATCTTCTTTGATGAAGTATTTGTTAAGAACTTTGACCTATTTTTTTAAATTAAGTTGTTTGTTTCCTTGTTGTTGAGTTTTAAGAGTTCTTTGTATCTATTGGATAAGAGACCTTTATCAGACCTGTTTTTCAAATATTTTCTCCCAATCTGTGATTTTTTTTTGTCATTCTCTTAACATTGTCTTTCACAGAGCAGAAGTGTTGCATTTAAATGAAGTCTAGTCTATCAATTATTTCTTTCAAGGATCGTGCCTTTGCTATTGTATCTAAAAAGTCATTTCCATACCTAAGGTCATCTAGGTTTTCTGCTACATTATCTTCTAGGAGTTTTATAATTTTATATTTTACATTTAGGCCTGTGATCCATTTTGAGTTAATTTTTTAGACAGTAAATAAAGTCTGAATCTAGATGTATTTATTTATTTATTTTTGTATGTGGATATCCAGTTGTTCCAGTACCATTTATTGAAAATACTGTCTGCTCCGTTGTATTGCATATGGATGTTCAGTTGCTCCAGCATCGTTTGTTAAAAAACAAAACAAAACAAACAAACAAAACTATCCTTTCCCTGGTGCCTGTGTGGCTCTGTCAGTTAAGTATCTGACTCTTGATTTCAGCTCAGGTCATGATCTCAGGGTCATGAGATCGAGCCCCATGTCAGGATAGTGCTGGGTGTGGAGCTAGCTTAAGATTCTCTTTCTTCCTCTCCCTTGGCCCCTCCCCCCTCAAAAAACCAAAACCAAACAAACAAAAAAACCAAAAAAATCAAATTTATCCTTTCCCACTGAATTGCCTTTGCTCCTCTATCAAAAATCAGTTGACTGTATTTATTTGTGTCTGTTACTGGGCTCTCTGTCCTGTTCCACTGGGTTCCTTCTAAGTTCTTTATTCTTTCCTATTTGTCTGTTATTTTATTAATACCACACTGTCTTGACTACTATAGCTTTAGAGTAAGTCTTGAAGTTGATCTTTTTTTAAAAAAATTATTATAAATATTTAATTGTGCTAAAATATACACAACATAAAATTTACAATTTTAACCATTTTTTCAAAGATTTTATATATTTATTTATTTATTTTTAAATATTTTATTATTTATTTGACAGAGACGCAGCGAGAGAGGGAACACAAGCAGGGGGATTGGGAGAGGGAGAAGCAAACTTCCCATGGAGCAGGGAGCCCGATGCGGGGCTTGATCCCAGGACCCCAGGATCATGACCTGAGCCGAAGGCAGACGCTTAATGACTGAGCCACCCAGGCGCCGCAAAGATTTTATTTATTTATTAGAGAGAGAGAGAACACAAGCAGGGGGAGCAGCAGAGGGAGAGGGAGAAGCAGGCCCTTTGCTGAGCAGGGAGCCTGACACGGGGTTCGATCCCAGGACCATGGGATCATGACCTGAGCCGAAAGCAGATGCTTAACCAACTGAGCCACCCAGGCGCCCCCAATTTTAACCATTTTTAAGTGTACACGTCAGTGGTATTAAGGGCA